AGAGACGCTTTTTGCTTGTGTCGATCGTGTACTTCGAATCCGTTGAAATTGCAAAAATAAAAATACAGAGAAAAAGCGTGCCTGATTGATCTACAACGGCGACCGCAAGCCAACGTGCCGAAAAATATCGAAGACGATGTGGTTTCTTTAATCCTGCTCGAGAAAGATATATATAATATATAATATATAACTTAACAACTAAAGTTGTTAAGAGACCATATATTTCTCTCTTAAATGTAATTTTTATTTTTAGAATTTATTGTAGGGCCAGTCCCAACGCTACTGCAATGTTGGGTTGACCCGTGGCAGAGTCGGAGCGAGCTCCATGCATCCACCTTTTTTCAAAAATCAGTTTAATATTCTGAATCCCCTATGGGGATTGTATCAGATATTAAGCTGATAAGAACAGATACTACACTTTTGATCTTAGCTCAATGAGCCGAGAAGCGATACCAGCAATGGCTTTCGCAGGCTTTATATACTGTTTGTGACGGAACTTGATTACGAGTTGTACGTTCGCTCATGCGCCGCTTAACGGTGGACCGAGGAACTAACGAAAGTAATCGACTCGATTCTCCCACTTCCTCGTGTTAGAAAGAGCACGTGACTAGAGCTCGAAAGGAATGCCGCGCGTACAATGACGTTTCAGGAATCGATCGCGCGCGCTAGAAAAATCGTTCCTGCGGTTTACGCAGGTGTCGTATAATGAGTGCGACACTGATTATAATTTACAAAAATATGCATAATTCATGAATCCTTGTAACCGCACAGTGGCGCATTCGACAAACATTCTTATCTTGAATGCTACTGACAGAGTCTATTTATAAATTCGCTAGAATCCGTTAGGCTCGAGTCTTAACGCGTGTTCTAATTACGTTGATTAAGTTATCGCATTGTGATATATGTACATACTTAGAACGATTCTCTGCTGCTGTGTTTACCACATTAATATTTGGTTTTATAAATATATTAACGTTTCTTAAGATATATATCTCGTTTTGTTAAATATCCCGAATTTTGTCTTATTTTTTTTCATCAATTTATTTCTGTGTATATGTCTACGCGCGTTCAAATTTTTATATATGTGGAATATAACAGTCTTTTTTGAAATATTTTTCTTCTTTCAAAAGTCGGTCACCTTACATCATACATAATCCGAAATAAATTAAACCTTGACACAAATTATTATCGTACTTTTGCAACCGTGCGCGCGCGCGCTATAATTGAATCTCTCTGCGTTTGCAAATGCACTTACCTCATTCTCGAGGGTGCACAGCGTTTATTAAGCCAAACCAAAACACCAAAGCATGTGTGGAACTTACCTAAAACAGAAAAACATTATAATTAGTGACACAGAACGCAAATAGTTATTCGAGCAATAAACGAACGCAAATAACAGCGCGCTATATCTAATAATGGCTCGCGCTGGAATTTATATGCAAAATGTTTCAAAATTAAATATCTTTTCATTAAAAGTCTTTTCATTGATTTTTCGTCAATAAAAACTTCATGTTATAGAAAAACGTGTTGAAAAAATATCCAATGATTTTAAAACACATCTTATATTCGTAGGATCGAGAATATTCCGAGATAAATAAAAAAAGTGAAGAATAATCCTTGATATGCAGTCGATCGTTGGCAATCGAATGATAGTGCAAGATGCAGATGTCATGTATACACATTATATAATCGAGAGAGAGAGAGAGAGAGAGAAAGAAAGAGACAGAGAGAGGGAGGGAACGATTATTGCAATAGTAAATTCCACCTGATCTACCGCGCCTGATCTTCTTGCGGATGCACTCGCGGAAACGTCGTTGATGAGTGGCAATAGCCACGCAAGGATAAGTAAAGGCGTATCGACGGATACGAAAGTTGCAAGAAGCGTGTCGTTCGTGACGTCGGAGTGAATCGCGGAATAACGTACGAACGCGGGTATTACGAAGATTGCCGTTTCAATAACGGTATAGGTCTTTTTTCCGAGTATTCGACACAATCTGAAAAAACCTAAGAGATTTTCACAATTTTTTATTTTTTGCTATTATCGCTATTAAAGCACTTTTATTGCGATTGCTCGAATTTAAACTGTTTAATGCCTCAAATTAGTTGTCCGTTCTTTAATAGAATAAAATTCGCGGAGAGCAGAAGTGATTCAACAAGTTAAATGTATTTCGCGGCGAGATACATCGTACTTTCGTAATTGCATTGTGGGAATGCGAGTTTTATTAAAAAAAAAAAAAAAAAAAAAAAAAAAGAGAGAGGGAGACCCGCGTTTTCTCGCGCATTGCCGTTTCATTCGCGAAAGACTTCTCTCGTAAAAGTCGTTCCACGAGAAAGAAAGAGAGATATTCGCTGGTGATGGAACGCGATTAGCCGATAATTCATACGCGGCTATGATCTACCGCTAACTAATCATATGCGCGTAGCGGAGAGCCGGAATGTCGAGTGGCGGTGGAATCGTAAAGGAGAGACTGCGCGGTGCAGTTCTATCGGTTGCAGGCGCGGTGCACTTTCACGGCTGCTCTTACAGGACATACGATCCCCATAATAAATTCCGCTCTTCGGCTTTCTTCGCCAATCCTTTCTTCCCCGGTCTTTCTATCTTTCTCTCTCTCTCTCTCTCTCTTTCTCCCTCTTCCTCTCCTTCTTATTCTTCATGGCGTGTCTGCCGATAATATTGCTCGCTCTCGAAGGTCGACCGAACGAACGAACGATCGGAGGGAGAGCCGCGATTATCCGCATCGCAAGCCGAATAATTCTACTAGGAAGAAAAAACGCGGTAAGAAATCGCCGCCCAGCAACGGATCCCATTGCTAATTATCTAGCGCCGATCCGCCTCGGTCGTCATCGTGCTCTTTGCCGGTCAAACGTGCCCTGCTATCGCGCGCGACCATAGATCACGGTGTACCGTTTATCAATTTTACGGAATGATTAGACGCGATTCTCAAAGCCCCTGCCCTGGAAATGGAAGCACTACGCTCGACACGATCGTCACGGTTGATCGTGCCATTTCTTGATCTCGAGATAAAACATTATGGACTTGAAAAAGATTAATGATTAATTATTATCGTATATAATCCAAATGGATCGGGAAATAATTTATTGATGAATTTTAATTGAATTTCTGGCATAAAAATTTCTTGTGTTCCATCTCTTTGAAAGTTTATATAAATATGTATATATAATGCTATTTTGAATTTTACACGACGACGAGATGTCATCGTATGACATTTAGTTTCAGTATTTTCGATTAAGTCGCGCGCTGTCGTTTGGCTAGATGCGAACTCTCTCTCTCTATTGCGGTTCGCAATTCCGAGGTTAATTAAGACGGACAGGCATTTCCGACTTCAGCTTTCACCAGGATTCACCTCCAAACCAGTCAACAAACGATCGGTATCCTCCATAATCTAGGATGCCGATTACGGGCTACGCAACAAGGAGATCCTTGTTATTATAAATTCGCTCGCGGTACGCTCGACCCGCAAAAGTACGAATTCCGATTCCGGCACGCGGCTGCCAGGATAAATGGTAATGGGCTTGGTCGGTTGAATGGTTGGTACATCGGGTAATGGCCTTCTGGTTCTTCCCCAGGCACTCCATCCGCCAACGGCCTTACCTTACCGCCGCTTCGCCGGTATTTTCCACGTCCTTACGTGTAGAAATGGAACGATACCGAAAAAACTCGTTGCACTTTGCAACGAGTCGTTCAATATTCATTCGATGCAGCGGAAAAAAATTAATCAATAATTTTGTTCATGAATCCGATGACGGCATTCTTAATTATTCGCGTGGAATTATAGTTTCTATCTATTCTACATGCAAAATATATATGCAATTGCGATAATAACAATAATTCTTGTGATGAATATATTATTCGTAAGATCCGAAAGTTAATATTTACCCATAAATGGTAACCGGAAACCAGAGACCATTCTTTTTTCTCTACCTGTCGTACACCTTTTCGTAGCGAGAAGAAGTTGAGGGAGCAACGTCAGGGACATGGTACGCGGCGCGTAAGCATTGTTTCAAAGAGACCGTAAATACTTCAACCCCGGGTTTGTTGTTTCGTTCGATCGTCGCTCGAACGAAAAAGCCTGTAACGCGTCCGCGAGAATTTTTCTTGAGCTCGCCGAAGAATTCTGACCACCCAGAATCCGAGAACAATAGATATATAATGTACACAATGCGCGCCCATTATTCACCGAAAATTTACTGTAAACTTTACTCTTCGATACGCAGCGAGCGAAATTCTGACGATATTTCAGATTTTATACGTTAAAATAATTCATCTACAGATCTATACTCATCTATACTCATTGTTACGTTTGCGAAACTCAAGGCAAACTGCCAATTTCTAGATAAAAATAAATTCGAATAAAAAGAACCTGTGTATATTCTGACACTTTGTGCAACCATAATTTTGCGTAATAATAACTCGTAGAGCGCGCGTATATATACAGCGAGCTAGCTTTCTGGTTAACACAATATTGCGCGTAATACCTTCGACGTGCTAAAATATTGAATGACAAGATATACAACACCCGGTAAATTTCCTGCAGCCTCTACCGTTCCCTCTTCCTGCCCTCGCGAAACGTGCGAGCGCCGCGTCGTCGTTCTCTTTTTCGACCTTCTTCGGGTGGAGTGCTATACGATCCTCTTAATGAAGTCCGACAACATAGCGAGGCGAATGCGTGCGAAGCCGCTGGACCGTGGTGCGATATTGGCCGCATGCGTGGAGATTATAGGATACATTCTATGATCAAAAAGATCACAGACGACACAGAGGCGCAATACGAGTGAAGTGTGGAATATCGTACAAACCTCTCGCGAGCCACGCTAAGAATAGACACTACTGGCTTATGTCATAATCTCAGGTTGCTTCACATGAAACAATCATTCTATACGTGAACGATTTCTTGTGAAAAAAATTTCATAGAGAATCATATGTAATTAAATAATTCTCTTGTTTTGGACGCCAATTTTCTAATCTCGATATGCATCTTAAAGAAATTTTTACGTTTTGAGAATCTAAATAATAACAAAAATTTGTTTTATATATTTAAAGAATAACTACAAGTGCGTGTGTGGGAAGATTAAAAAATACACGCATCATGATCATGAGATATTCTAATATGAAGATCAAGAGATCTTCTCGTTAACGCGATTAACACTAGTCATGCAGATCAGCTCGAAGCGACAGTGACGTGTACAATCGACTTCTAATCTAATTAGATGCAACGAGAACAAGAATCACACTAGTGCCAATTGTTCATCTGATTGGCACACGACGTAGAGTTTTTCTTTTTATATTCTAATTCGATGAGCTAACGTCGCATATAACAGCACGATATGTCGTGTACAAACATCTACGTTATTAAAATTTGATTATTAGAATGAAGCAATAATAATTGTTATATCATTTTAACAGCACATTATATTAGGTCTACCGGAAAG